TGTGTAAGTGCACCCATGTTGTGCAATTCCCATGGAGGTCAGAAGAAGGCGTTGGATTTCCCTAGAATTGGAGTTATGGACAGTTGTTAGCTTCCATGTGGGTGCTGGGAACTGAACCCAGGTCCTCTGCAAGAGCAGCCAGTTCTTTTAACTGCTGAGTCATCTCTCCAGCCCTGGCTTTTTTCTTTTTGGAAAGGCACCTCATCTTCCAATTTTCCAGCTTGCCAAATGTTTGGTTTTACCAGGTAGCAATGAAACCTGACCTTCTGCATTTACATGACAACTAATGCCCCAAATATAGCAAATACTCATAGACTTTCAAGAAAAGAAATTAAAAACCTACAGCTACAGTAGGATATTCTCAGTAGATGGAAAGCAAACAAAAAAAGAATAGCTACAGAGGGAGTGAGCAAACGTAACAGGCCTTCTCATCAGACCCTCCAGGCCTCATCTCTGGCTTTCTGGGGTAGATTCAAAATAATATCTTCATTCAATTTATTCTATTGTACTAGATATCCTCAGTTGTCAAGTTGACACACCTAGGAAGACGGAACCTCAGTTGAAGAAATATCTCTATTGGACTGGCCTGTGGGCACATCTGTGAGGTATTTTCTTAACTACTGAGTGATGTGGGAGAGCTCAGACCACTGTAGGTGGTGCCATCCCTGAGTAGGTGGTCCTGGAATGTATAAGAAAGCAGGCTGGGCATGGGCCAGAAGAGCAAAGCCAGTAAGCATGCTTCCTCTGTGGTCTGTGCTTCAGTTCCTGCATCAATGTTCCTGCCCTGCTTAAGTTCCTGCCTTTACTTCCCTAAGTGATGGACTATCACTTGGAAGAATAAGATGAAATAAACCCTCATCTCCCAAAATGGTTTTGGCCAGTGTTTCATCACAGCAATAGAAAGCAACTAGGACATCTATCTCCTATTCTGCTATTAAGACTATCCATTGGTATTTTCTTTTAACAGCTCAATTATTGCCATTTTTCATTTCAAGGTTCTGTTTTCTCCTTTCCCAGTCTGTACTGGTCATGTGTTACAGTTTTTTGTTTACTGCAAACAAGTGCAAATTTATCTTTTATTTCTTTCAAAATGTTAAACCTATTCTTTCTAAAGTTTCAACTGTATAACTGAAGTCTTTTTGTTTGATTGGTTGGTTTTGGGTTTTTTGGAGGCAGAATCTCACTATGTAGCTCTGGCTGGCCTAGAACTCATAGACCAGGCTGGCCTCAAAACTCAAGAGATCAGTCTGTGCCTACCTCCCAAGAGCTAGGATTAAAGGTGTGGGTCACAATGTCCAGCTCTAATTGGTGTCTTTATAAAGTTTTCCTTGTTCTGATTTGAATGTGAACAAAGGTTCTAGCTTATAAATTTCTAAGTGGAAGTTTTGTGACCTAAGATCATTATACCCAGCTAAGCTGCTGGGAACATGTACAAGCAAAAGAAAAACACTGGCCATCTAGAAAGACTAAGAAAAGAGTCTGGAACATTTTTTTGAAGCCACGAAGTGATAAAACAAGGACAAGAATGATGTCCAACAAAGAAGTATACTATGGCTGTGGGACCCAGAGGAGTGATATGCTAAATACAAAACCAAGATAAAGCAGCACTATATATTATGATTCCTAATCAATTCCAAGTGATGGTACATTTATTTATTTATTTATTTAATTTATTTATTTAGTTAGTTAGTTAGTTGGCTTGTTTGTTTTCTGACACAGTAGTCCATGTAAGTTTCAAGTTCACTGTATAGCTGAGACTTGCCTTGAACTCCTAATCCTCCTGTCTCCATCTCAAAAATCTGGGATTACAGGATTATACAATCACTCTCAGCTTAGTGGCACACTTATAAGAAAAATTTATAATGTAGTAAAATTAGCAAGAGGTCCAGCTTAGTTGGTAAAGTGTTTGCTATGTAAGCCTGATGACCTGGGTTTGATCCCTGGAATCCACAGTGAAAACAGACAACCTACTCTCAAAAGTTGTCCTCTGACCTTCACACACATGGGTATCTGCACTCACTCATATACATACATATACATGTACAATACTAATAAATAAAAGTTTAAAAAACATCATTAGATAGAGAGAAAAGGCTGAAGAAAACATAAGACTGCTGATTTCTTTATCATTTGTAACAGGTAATCAACAGAGCTACTACCTAAAAGTATAACACATAGTTAAAAAATTATCCCATTATTATTAATGTTCCTATAACCAGCTTATTATAGAAAAAATACTTTAGCAATTAATACATCTGTGAAAAAAGAACATTCATTTGAATTTAACAACTCCAGTTTTGTTTTATTTTCTAGTTAAATTCAAGTAAAATAAAATTCTTTAAAACTGTATTGAAGTTTCATTAACAAATATTCCACTACCATAAAGTTATTTTTTGAGCTCCCTTTAACTTATACTACCTTTGAACTTATCTGGCCTGGCCTTGATCTCAGTTGGCCTGTGTCTGGGTTTTGTTCACACTTCTCAGCACCTTTTCATCAACCTTTACTTTCACCTGGCTGCTGACTTGCTTCCACCTCTGCCCACCTGGCTGTATCTATAACTGCTTGCCTGTTCATAACTCTGTCTACACCTGTCCATTCACACATCCTTGCTTGTTTCCATCTCTGCCAATTAGCCTGTCTATGACCACCTGTCTGCTCTTCTCCACTTGCTTTTCTGTTCAGATATAGGCACCAGCGCATCTAAGACTCTGCTGTGCATCACTAGCCTCTGTCCTTTGGTACCTAGTTACTAGGTACAAAGTTACCTAGTTCCTGAAGGTTTTTCATTTAGAGTCAGGCCAGCAGTCATACATACCCATACAGAACCACTTGGAATGGCATTCTTTTACGTTAATGATGACCACTAAGATATCTGAATTTCAAGTGATTATCTTTCTTCTCTATAATCATAGGCTATGTTTATCTAATGAGTATTTTAAAAACTATTTTATTTTTATTATTTCTATTTTATGTGTATGAGTATATTGCCTGCAATGTGTAAGTGCACCAGGGTCATGCAATGCCTGCAGAGGTCAGAAGAGGGTGTTGAAGTCACCTGGAACTGAAGTTATTGACAGTTGTTAGCTACTGTGGGTGCCTGGAATAGAACCTGAGTCCTCTGCAAAAGTAGTCAATGCTCTTAACCACTTGCTGAGCCATCTCTCCAATCCTTAACAAAGACATTTTTAATAAAGATGGTCTTTAAACCAAAGCCAATCAATAAACAAAACACAGATGAACAAACATCTTATAGAGCAGTGTTCCACGGATCAGACCAGAACCTAAGCAAGGCATGTGCAGAAGAATATATGCATTCATATGCAGATGATCATACAATGAGAATCACAAGTTTCACAAAGAAATATGAATTCCTAAAAGTGCACAATGAAAAATTTTTGGTCTGTTCTACTTTATTTACTGTTATTTAAAAAAAAATAGTTGGGGCTGGAGAGATGGCTCAGCGGTTAAGAATATTGGCTGTTCTTGTAGAAGACCAGGGTTCGAATCCCAGCACCCACATGGCAGCTAATAACCGTCTGTAACTCCAGTCCCGGGGGATCCGACAGCCTCTTCTGTCCTCCACAGGCATTGCACTGCACGGGTACACTTACCTACACACAGGCAAACCACATGTACAAATAAAATAAAAATAATAAATAAAATATTTAAAAAATAATAAAAATAATAATAATAGCTTTTGACTTACTAAGTTAATTTTATGATCTATAAAGAAATGGACCAAAACAGTAGTCTGAAAAACTCTAGTTAGAAGACAAGGTTGCCACGGAGCAACTCAGCAGCAGCTGCCTACTCCAAAGTGCCCTGGGAAATAGAGATGCAGTCTGCCCTGAATCTTACTGAACATTCTTTCTTCAATCTCTCTCTCTTTGTATTAACTTCAACCTGCTGGACCTGCTGGACCTATCCTATCCTGTGCCTGGATCTTTAGGCCCTCCTACAAACTTCCTTGTCAGCTAGGCACCTTGTCAGCTTCACTACCATCACCTGGATCTCAGATCGCATGCTCTGTAGCACATTCATGTATTTTACCTCCCAGCCCAGAACGTGTGTGTCTTGAATGTCCATTTTACACTTTAACAACCTTCACTTAAAAGTGAAAAATATTGCCATGGTGGTGCATGCCTTTAATCCCAGCACTCAAGAGGCAGAGGCAGGTGGATCTCTGTGAGTTCAAGGCCAGCCTGGTCTACATAATGAGTTCCAGGACAGCTGGGGCTACAGGGAGACCCTGTCTCAAAAAGACCAAAAAAAAAAAAAGAAAAAGAAAAATATTGTTATGAAAGAAATCAGATTTTGTCTTGCATTAAAAAAAAAAAAAACTTATTGACCCAGTGAGGGCAAGAACTGCAACGCAGGCAGAACCGATGGAGTTCTAATTTCCCTGTCAGTAGGCTATGGAGTTTCCCACAGCAGCATGCTCATGCTGGGATGGCTGTTCTGTGTTGTGGTAGAGGCAGGGAGGAAGCCATTGTGTTGCTGGTTGTTATCCACAAGATGTCAGTCACTTCTTCAACTGTAATGATCAAAACTGTTCCCAGATGTTGCTGTGTTGCATGTGGGAACACAAGCCCTGGCTGTAAACCTCTGGCAGTACTCCTGACATGAATTGTAGTCTGGCTTGTGATCTCTTCCTACTCCTCCTCTCCCTCACACCTCTTTTCTGGTCATGGTGGTGTGGGTGTGTGCCCTCAAAGGGGGATTGTGCAACTGTGGTCCCTTCCTCTCTCTGTCACACTCAGCCATGAGGTGAACAGGCCTCATCGGCATCTTGCTGCCACCATAATAAATGCCTCCAAGCAACCAGGGCCAAGGGACCATGAATTGAAACCTCTGAGCCTACAAGCCAAAAAAGCCTTTCTTGTATTTAAGTTATTTCTGGTATGTGTTAAGAGTAATGAGCTGGCTAACACAAGAACAAAAAATGACTTCAAATTCATGAATTTATCACACACACACACACACACACACACACTGACCTGTCGAAATACTTCATTCACGAAATTCACATAACCCCGTGTTGACAAGAGGATCTGCTGCACCATTTCATATACAGTTCGATGCTCCTCTTCAATGCTACAAAGACTGGCATTGCTGAATCTTCGGTCAGACAACGTGCTACTGTTAGAATGATTCTTATCCTGCTCTGCAGATCCAGCACCATCCAGCTCCGGAACCTTTTCTTGTGCTGCACCACCACCAACAGTCTGGAAAAAGTCATCACACTTCTCAGCAAACAACATTCCCACACATCAGCACCTAGCAAATGGGAGTCTTGCCTTGCTTACTGGATTTCAGGTTTTGTGAGGATTTTGGTGTTGAGGATGGAACCCAGGATCTCAAACATGTGAGCATGTAATCTACAACTGACCTACAGTCCTAGACCCAGGCTTTGCCTTGTTTCAAAGTTCTCTGGTTATCACCAACTTGCCCAGGGTATAGAAAGCTGAACAACAGTAACTGTTTAAGCACAGACCCCAGAACCTCTACTGACAATTTTCTAAATAACCATTTAATCCTTCCTCAACTGAGTTATTTTAATAGGAAAACTACTAAGTTATTTTAGGGAAGAGAGCTGTGAAATTTTGTCAGCTAAAAAGTTAATTTGCATTTGTATAACCACAGAATAAATTATTGGACATATGCATGTATATTGTCATCACACTAAGTCTCTACATTTCAGCATTTACTCTACAGTCACAGAGATCTGCAGACAGGAGGCTGCTTGTAACAGTAACACTGAGAAGAAGCAGCATGAGTTTGATCTAACCAGGCCCAGGTCCAACAGGCTGACAGCATTTCCCATCTCTTATTTTCCCTTGGAGTTCCCTGTGACCATGTAAATCCAACTACCCATCTAGCAAGATAGTATGGAACAGAGTTCCAAATGAACCAGTCTTCCCTCCAACTGGCAATAACAGACATGTGAACGAAGTCATCTCAGATCCTCCAGACCAATTAGTCACCAGCTCAAAGTCATAAAATAAGGACCCATCAATCCCACATGAAGAATACAACAAATATCTAGTCAGTTCCTGCCATAATTCTTGCTCTGAAAAGTATAATTCAGAAATCAGATTAAAAACTTGCTGCTTTAAGCCACTAAGATTTGAGATGGTTTGTATCATAGCAAAACAGTAACTGAAACAGGATAATTATACATCATCAAGTCATTTAAAAATCAGCTCTAGGGGCAGAGATGGTTCAGTGGGTAAAGTCCTTGCTGTGCAAGTGTGAAAAACTGAGTTTGGATAGCCAGCACCTCTGTAAAAAGCTGGGCATAGTGGCACAAGCCCATAATCCCAGGAAAAGACAGGAGGATGGATACACACACACACACACACACACACACTATATATAAAAATTATACATATATATATATATGTATATAAAATTAGAGGTGGGGCTGGAGAGATGGCTTAGTAGTTAAGAGCACAAACACTGGCTGCTCTTGCAGAGGACCCTGGTTTGATTCCAAGCATCCACATAGTGGCTAACAACCATCTGTAACACCCTCTTCTGGGCTCCATGGGCACTGCACCCATGTAGTGCACTTACATACATGCATACAGGCAAAACATTCATACACATAAAACAAAAAAAAAAAATACGTTTAAAAGAGGTGGGGGGACTGGAGAGATGGCTCAGTGCTTAAGAGCTCTGGCTGCTTTTGCAGAGGACCCAGCACCCACATGGCATCTAACAACCATCCTTAACTCCAGTTCCCGGGGATCCAATGCTCTCTTCTGATCTCAAGCATTGCATGACACAAGTGCACTTACATACATGCAGGCAATACACTTATACACATAAAATTAAAATAATAACTGTTTTTAAAGAGGTGGGGTCTAAAGGGAGGTGTTTAGGTCATTGGGCATGTGCTCCCAAAGGGGATGGTAGAACAGCAGCCCCTTTTCCTCTTTTGCTTTACGGCTATGAAGTGACAGTTTTGGTCTACCACACACTCTCCACCATGTCATCAAGCATATCCACCAGAGGCCTAAAAAGCAGTGGGTTCATCCAGTCATGGACTGAAATTCTGTTATGTGATTTCCAAGGGAGAAGTAAAGAAATGCCTGCTCAACCCAAATAGTTTACTAATAGACTAAAGAAAGGATCCTTATATTTGAAATTTATTTGAAGCAATGGCTTTTAAAGAACTAACTCCTTTATGGAATAGTATTCAATTAACACATCAGTCTACTGATATTAAAAAAGGATTTGCTTTATTTATTTCATATTCTATCAATTACACTTAAAAATAATTCTGTGTTCAGGTCAGCTGGGACTACAGGGAGACACTGTCTCAAAAGGACAAAAAAAAAAAAAAATTCTGTATGGTACCAGAGAGATACTTAGCAGGTAGAGTGCTTGCTGCACAAATATGGAACCTAAGTTTGGGTTCCTAGCACCTACATAAAAAGCTAGGCATGACCCACATGCACCTGAAACCCCAGTGCTGGGAGCAGAAACAGGAGGATCTCTAGGGCTTGCTGGCCACCAGCACAGCTAAAAAAAAAAAATGGCAAACTCCTGTCCCAAGGAAATATGGTGAAGGCTGACAGAAGAAAATACCTCTTCTGGCTTCCGAGTGTACGCATAGGCATAAAGACTCACACAAACGCATGTATACTTGTGCATACACCAGACACACACACACACACACACACACACACACAAAACAAATTCTGTGTACCTGCTTATCAATAAGTTATATAGCTTCATGGTGTATTTTCTTTGTTTGCTTCTGTAGAATTCAAGAACAAGAAACACTAACAGGAGTCAATAAGCAAATGTGCAAGTTTCTATAGAGTTGTCAATTTGTGTTTCACCATTCTACCTGTTCATCCCATGAGCCTATAGATCATTATAAGCAGCTGTGTAGAATTAGCAAAAGTGGTCTTTTTATTAATGTAAATAAAGAGTTATATTTAAAAGAGAGAGAGAAGCCGGGCGTGGTGGCACACGCCTTTAATCCCAGCACTTGGGAGGCAGAGGCAGGTGGATCTCTGTGAGTTCAAGGCCAGCCTGGTCTACATAGTGAGTTCCAGGACAGCTGGGGCTACAGGGAGACCCTGTCTCAAAAAGCCCCCCTCCCCAAAAAAAGAGAAAGCGTTATACACATAAAAATGCTACTTCTTTTTGAGTCCTTAATGGACTTTTTTGGCTTTTAAAGTTTAACTAGTGTGTACATGGAACTGATCAAAAGCTGTTGCTGCAATATCAAAATCATCAGTGTGCTTCTATCTACTGAGCTGTGCAGGGTATGGTGGCACTTGCCTCTACTCCCAGCACTCAGCAGGCTGAGGCAGCAGCATCATGGGCATCTAAACAGCTGTGCTTTCATTTCCCCATGAATGAAGTCATTTGCTATAATGGAAATCTTGAATGTCTACTAAAGGCCTGTGTGTTGAAGACTTGGTTTCCAACCACAGAACTACTGGGAGATGATAGACGTCTTAGGAAGTAGAGCTTAGTAGTATAGAAATTAAGCCCACTGGGGTATGTCCTGGAATTGGGGAAGGGACTCTGGCCTTCTCTTGTCTGACTCGTAGTCATCATCAGAGCAGGTCTCTTACACCGTGACATTCTGCCTCACCATAAGCTCAAACCAATAGGACCAAATGACCATGGGCTGAAACCTCTGAAACCATGGGCCAAAATTATTGTGTTTTTCTTTAAGTTGAGTATTTCAGGTCTTTCTGTCACAGTAATAGGAGCTAGCTGAATGAGAAAATGTGGTAAACCAGATACACCTAGTACTAGGGAAGCTAAGTCTAAAAGGTACATTACTAAGTCTTTTCCTCCCTGTCCAAAGTATTAGTTCTAGATCAAGAAATTCACTTGAGGAAATGAAAAACAAAATACCTTGCATACGACCTACACAGCAAAATGTGAATTCCTTTTTGAAAGATTTATTTTTTAATTATGTTTATGCATGTATGTCTATATAGGGGTATGTAAACATAAGTGCAGTTGTCCTTAGAGGCCAGATCCTCTGGAACAGAAGTTACAGGTGGTTGTGAGCTGCCTGACATGGATTCTGGTATCCAAACTCTACAAGAGCAATACATTCTCTTAGCCTCTGAGCCATCTCTCCAGGCTCACAATAAAGTGAATTCTGTTGTGAAACAGTACTTGAGATATTTATAAAGGTCTTTATTTTTTAATATATTTTTAAAAATTTAATGTGTATGAGTGCATTGCCTGTATACATGTATGTGCATCTGTGTCATGCAATGCTTGAGGAGGTCAGAAGAGGGCCCTGGATCCCCTGAAACTGGAGTAAGGTTGGCAGTTAGACACCATGTGGATGCTGGGAATCAAACCCAGGTCCTTTGCAAGAGCAGTCAGTGCTCTTAACTGCTTAGCCATCTCTCCAGCCCTGTAAAAGTCTTTTATAGGGAATTATTTGAAAGGGGTTTTTGATCACTTTGTTTTACACAGCAATACTTTAGATGTGTGAAACCCTATCAGTGGTTTAAATTCCAAACAAAATTTTAAATTCCAAACAAAAACTTTGAGGTGATAAATATAATCATTACCATTTTTATTTCACCTTCTAAATTTTCAAAAATTTTAACTTTCTTTCAGCCAGTCTTTTGTTGCTCTTATTGGAATTCTATTCCTGAGACTTTGGAAAATGAGTATTCCCCTGATCTCCAGTAAGTCTTCTACATGGACCCACAAACTCTGGACTACTTGGTGTTCTCTCCATCAAGGGCCCTAATGACCTTGGTACATGCCAAATACTAATATGCCTCCTCTAGCTTATTTGTTCTTCTAGCTCAGAGCAAGGTCAGATTTCTGGAACCTCCTTGGCATCAGCAAATATGCAGTAACTTTACCACACTTGTTGGCCTTGTTCTTGGGGACAAGAAACAAACAATAACCCACACAAAGCCATGATCTCCTCATTAATGCGGCTGATCTTTCACTTCTTTAAGTGGCAGTGTTCTACCAAGTACACGGTCCTTAAGCAACTCAGCCTGCCCCATCTGTGTAAGACATGAAGGGAGGGAGAAAGGGGGGCAGCACAGAAGGCCAACCTACATAAGAAGTCTTTTCTGAAGACCTCAGGCAAAGGCAGCCTTCTCTTCTGGGGACAGCATTATAATGTAACTATCCCAGGATCCTGAGCTGCTGATCCAAGCTCTTTCCTGAGATTCCTGAGGGTACTCGACAGCATGAGCCCTCTTCGTGGGCCACCCATATGACCTCCTGAGGGTCTTTCAGCTGCTGGTGACTGCTGAAAGGAAGACAAGACCTTGCCCACATTCAGAAGACATTAATACTCAAGCAAGGAGAAAGAAGGGACATGGGAGAATGCCCACGAGAGCTGTCTTCTCAGAATTCTCCCTTGCCCCTAAGACTGCCTTGTGGTAATTCTAATACTGCACAGCAAGTGTTTCCCTTGAAATCTCTTTCAAGAGCTCCCTCTGAAACCTCAGCCCTGCAGACAGGAGGAGCCAATAAACCAACACCTACAAGAACCACAACGCTAACAATCAGTTACTATAGGAATATGTTAGTTTGTTTTATTATGTAAGATAGGTTTTTAAAATGATAAGTGGCATACCTGGATGATTTTAGGCAATACATCAACTCCATTTTTAGTGTTCTGTGTTGCAGTTAGATACTTTTTTTCCAAAAAGAAAGTTACAATCCACTTAATAAAAACAACACGAGCTGCCATGTAGGGAATTTTTGTACTGTAAATGGTCTCATTATCTCGAGTTACAGTAACATATACTGGCTTTGGTCTCAAATGGGGTATTTCTGGTAGGAAAAAAGAACAGGCATTTAAGTTAGTGAATCTAAAAATCCCTACAAATTGTCCAGTTTAATAAACATATTTGATTGAATGGCAACTAAAAATGAAGATCTATAAGTGTTTAAAAATAGTATCTCCCAGCAGGCTTGTTTCTGATTTTGCCTGGCAATCTGACTAAGCAGAGGCTATGGTAGTTTACATACAGCAAGAGTACACATCTAGGTCTTTTTGAGACAGGGTTTCCCTGCAGCCCCAGCTGTCCTGAAACTCACTATGTAGACCACGCTAGCCCTGAACTCACAGAGATCCACCTGCCTCTGCCTCCCAAGTGCTAGGATTAAAGGCATGCACCACCACGCCTGGCCCTAATCACTCTTAACAATTTTGAGAAAACACCTGAGACTAAAATAGTGAAAATAGCTTCATTTCTATTATACTCTAATCTTATTTTATGACTGGAACAAATGTAAAAGCATACATGAACTTTAAAAAAAAAATCACTTTAGAGCTGGCCATGGTGGGAGATGTCTATAATCCTAACACTCAGGAAGCCACAACAGGAGGATTGTAAGTACAAGGCTAACCTCAGAAAGTGACCCTACATAGAAAGAGACCCTGTCACAGGGGAAAAGGAAGAAAAGAAGGAGGGAGGGAGGGAGGATATAAAATCATTTTAAGCATTTGAATATCTATCATTGCACTAATCCACTATCAGTGGATTAAATCCACTATCAGCAGTTTTAATCCACTATCAGTGGTTTTAATCCACTATCAGTGGATTAAATCGACTATCAGTGGTTTAAATCTACTGACCTTTTATCAACATAATTTACTTTTTATATGAATAAACTCAAAAAGTCACATTTCATCTTTGAAAATATCAGATTCTAACTTTTCCAAAGACTCAAAAGAGAAGTCCAGTTCTCATTCTTTAAGCTTCATCAAACACGAACATTATATGGTATTGAATCTGAGATACTGACTTGCTGTAAGTTCAACTCTGAATCTTAATTAGTTTTTGTATACCTCAACGTTACATGCAGCAAAGCTGGAGGAGGTGAGCCTTTAAGTCTCAGACATGGGACATAGAGATATAGGTTTGGTGTTTGCCCTGCTGGTCTTTGGTCTTACTCTGGTCTGGTATTTCCTCACTGTACCCCTATTTCTCCCTTTTGGAATAGAAATGTATATTCAGTTCCATTGCATGTTAGAAGTATGTGATTTGTCTTTTTTTTTTTTTTTTTCAAATTTTATGTGTATGTGTGTAGTCGCTGCATGTGGGTAAGTGCACTGTGTCGTGCAATGCCTGCAGAGGACAGAAGAGGCTGTCGGATCCCCTGGAACTAGAGTTACAGATTGTTGTTAGCTGCCATGTGGGATCTGTCTTTTTTACTTTACAGGGGATTATAGCTAATAGATTGTCTTAAATCTCAAAAGAAACTTTTGACTTTAGACTTTTGAACAGTGTTGATTAAGACTGTTAAAGACTTTTAAAGTTGGACTAAAGGCATTTTGCATTATGATATGGACATGAGCCTATAGAGGTCAGGGAGTAGAAGGTGATGATCTGAGTAAGAATGCCCCCCATAGGCGCAAGTCTTTGAACAGTTGGTCTGCAGGCGGTGGCGCTGTTTGGGGAGGTTTAGGAGGTGAGTGCAGTCTTACTGGAGGAAGTATATCATAGCCTTGTCCCACTTCCAGTTCACTCTTTCCTTCCTGCACCTGCTTGAAGATATATGCACTCTCAGGTTCCTGCTCCAACCTCCTGCTGCCACGCCTCTCCTATCATTATGAACTCTCCCTCTGGAACTAAAGCCAAAATAAACTCTTTCATAAGTTGCCTTGGTCATGGTATTTTACCATAGCAACAGAAAGACAACTAATAGAGAAGCTGTTACTAGAAGTGAAGTGCTGCTGTGAAGAACCTGACCATGTTGGTTTTTAGAGGAACATGGAAGACTTTGGAATTTTGGACTAGAAAAGCAGTTGAAAGCTGTATAAGTAGAGCTTAATGGGCTGTTCTAGTAGGAATTTGGACTGTTGAGGCCTTGCTAAAGATGTTTCAGAAGGAGAACAGCAACAGAAAAGTAACTGACACCCTGGGGTACCTGGATAAGGCAAAACATTGTCAATAAATAACTTTTTTGTTGTTTCTTTCTCAAGACAAGGTCTCTCTATATAATCAAGGTTGGCTTCACACTCGCACTTATACCTCAGGCTTCCGAGTCCTAGGATTGCAATTACAGGCCACTATGATCAGTTTCAATACATAATTTTCAACCTAGTAATATCAACAATGTACAGTATTCTGTACATTGAATGTAGACTATAAATAAAATTAGAAACAATTTTTGAAAAGGTAT